CTTTTGCGACAGTGCATGTGGCGTAGTGACAAACGTATACATGACGTGTATGTGAAGTACGTGTACGTGACGTATTTAATGCAACCTCTGTGTATGTAACGTATGAAACGTAGTGTACATAAAGTGTACGTAACGTAAGTGTATGTGACCGTGATGTGACGAACATCACTGGGATATACATGCACGTAACGCGTATGTGACGTACATGTATGTGACAACACACTACGTCACATACGTGTCACATATGTACTTGGCGTTTATGTGGCATACGTGTACGAGAAATACGGCTGTGTGATTTCATGTGACGCACGTTTTAGTAAAATGTATATAACGTAAACGTTTGTTTTATGCATGCATGTGACATATGTGTGTGTGACATACGCTTGCGCCAAGTATACCTACATGTACGTCCCATGCACGTTACATTGAGTAAGTCACGTACACACATGTGAAAAAGGTTCTATAAAACATTTTTCACCAAGCATTTAAAAACTGATGACCGGGGGATCCTTTCTTACAGAGAATTCGAGTGAATACAAAGCTTGTACGACGAATATTCGAGTGTTTGGTTTTAGGCTTGATGTAGATAATTTCTCGAATTAATAGATATTTTCTGGAATTTTCCATTGTAAATATTTTCTAAAATTTCCATAAATTTACTTTTATCAGCTGTTCTAGGAGGTTTATTGACCTTTTAATAATTGAAAATCATTTAATAAAATATCATCATTATAGCATAATTTATGAGCGTTATGCAAAATTCATAAGTTTGGGAAAAAGATCGAAAGAGACTTATAGAATTGGAAAGATTCATTTTTTACTTTTGTAATTTATAACACAACCATAGTGCGTACTTCAAATCTAATTTTGAAGATACAATGAAGCTTGGTAAGGTACGATTAATTAACTAAACTTCGTCATCAGATATTTTTATGTTGTTTATAAAATAATTTGAAAAAAAAAAATCGGCCAGCAAAGCTAAACATTCAAGAAAAAGCAAATAAGGTTAATTCAAATGTATCCATCCATATCCAAAACAAAATATTTATAATGTAATCTGATGCATGTACCATATATTCATAATGAAAATACGGTACTCGTAACGGAAAATTCCAGAAATAGGTATTCTGGAAAAAAAAAACTTTTTAATAGCATAACAAATTTATTCTCCCAAATCTTATCGTTGCAAATCATTAATAATACAACTGTGGATGTAATGTAATGTTTACAGTATTTCGTCGAGTTGACATTCAAAAAGATTTAATTTTCTCAAGAAGTTAGCAACTGAACATATCTGTACCGTTATTAAGCATCATCTTATTACTGATCTGCTGAAATATCAAAATTATTTCATTCTAGGGATTACTATCTCTCATACTTCAATAGTTAAGCTGACTATATTGACAGATAAATAGGTTATTTAATTAATTTTCTTAACAAGTAAATCAAATTCAAAAATCTTTCAAAAAAGAGACATTGGAAATATGGTTTAAGTACTACTTCACATATCACATTTCATTGAACTATGTATCTTTATTGATTGCTTTTTTTTTTTGTTTTAATATTACAATAATAACGTGACAATCCACATGTAAATTATGAAAATAAGTGAACGAAATCCGCGTAATAAAGTCAGCTAATAGACAAATAATTTCAGCATCCCCTATCAAAAGTTAAACCAAATGACATCGCATCTATTATCAGTGTGGCACAAATGTTGTCAGCTGTTGTCGGCAGTAACACAATGATCGAACCTCTTCATCAGGTGCACAATATCCTTGATTACCGTACTCATCCAATCGAGTTATCTGAATGAGCAAAATTACAAATTTGGAAACCTATTTAGCAAGATGAACAGCTTTTGCTATATGTATAGCGTATTACCTCCGCTTACAATTCCATCTAATAAATTAATATAATACAATACTCTTAAATACTACTAAACAAATAATAAAATATGATAGATAAACAAGATGGTGAATATAATAATTAAATATAAAATGGAAATAAAGTATAGAAAGTAAAGAAATAGGAAAAGAAAAAGTGACAAAAACAGTATCGCTAAACAAATGGAAACAATAATCGTACAAAATGATGAAACGAAAAAACAAAGTATGATAATACTTCCGTACTTTTGTGATTATTTCAAACTTATCCTTCTTCTTTAACAGTTGCGCTTCATATTTTCCATTACTTGGTGAAGCTCTTACAACTACATCCAGTAATGATTTTGCCTCAAAAGATTCTGCTGAAATAACCTAAAAATGTTCAATTGAAATGAAGAAAACAAAGAGAAGTAAGAATTTTTTTTTAACGTCAAAATGATTTTCAATGCTTTAAATTCGTTGGATTTTATTTTGATTCATTATTTTCTTTATACAGCCTGGATCCTATCAGATTACCGAATAAAGGTTATGTTCAAATGAAATTTCTACAATATCTACCGGACAGGATGATAAAATCCTTAAGTGAAATTAAGGCAATGATATAAGCTGACAAAGGAGGGAATATCACAAAGATATCTCAGTACTTATTCATGGCTGCATAACGGACCATGCTAAGATGCAGTTATACCTCTATGACATACTTCTACGACAACCCCAGCGGACTTTATCAAAGCTCCTCCTTTAATCTTGGGTGTATACATTATATATATATATATATATATATAAATGCTACACTGTTGTTACAATCTACAGTATTCTCTTCGCCTATCCGCCATCATTGGAGAGTAAACTATGATAATCTTTTCTTCCGCTAAATAGATACTTTCCCGCGGTATACCCCAACTCGAGGAAGAACAAACTGATATCTCAACCATTACATAACCTATTAACAAAACAACAAGGAATTTGTTAGTTGATCATATTGCTTGCTTTTGTATAACTCATTTATCACTGCTTATCAATTTACTGTACACTGTATATTTTTTTGTTGTTGTTAACTAGTAATACTGTGAAAGAACAATATTACTTCCTGAATAAATCTATGTCGCTGATAACGAAATCAACAAATTAGCTTCTCCGACAAATGCAATATGTGATAAAAGAAAACCATATTCTTATACGGTCCTATCACTATTGCGTATTACTTTTTACCTTATCATATCGCTTATGCGACCTTATCACACGAAAGGTTATCACAATGAAAATTGGAAGCAGCTATATAAAAGCTCTCTTCTATTATTGCATATTTCACAACTAATAACTATTTACGCCTTTTTTACCTTCATCTAATCATTTTGTTTATTAAATATTTATTCAAATTAAAACATTACTTCTATAAAATCGAGCACTTCGCAGGTTCCAGTCAGGTTTTTCTGTTTCAAGAAATCGTTGATACTAGCAATGAGTAACTGCGCAGCTTCTGTCACATCATCACCATAAATATTTATCTTATGCCAAGTTTGTTCACAAATACAGTATTCTTCTGGAATTTCCATTTCCTCACATGTTCTGCAAGCTATATGATAAACTTCACACAGTTAAATTATTGTGCCAATTTAAATCAGATTTGATTGAAAAATGATTTTTTTTATTTAAGATTTTCATTTTTCTTAAAAAGAAGTCATAATCACAAACTTAATTGCTACTACTTTTTAACCAATCTTCCATCATCCTATCCTTTCTTTCTCTTTCTAAAAAAATCAAAGCATCAAATCTGTGTTTCCCATGGAAATAATCGCATAATGTTTTACCTGTCATATGAAATAGGTCTCAGAATACTTTTCGCACGAATTCCGCCCCTTATCTCACCAAATTCATTCCTGTAATTGAAATAAATGTGTCGCAAAAAATTCCATACAATAAAGCATTTTCACAATTTTGAAATCCTTCAAAATTGTAAAAATTTTCCTTTAGGGAGCAGTGAAATCAACAGCGATATAATTTGGCAGCAATGGTTGAAAAATTATGCAAAAACTGAAAGAGTAAATTTTTTATAAAAATAAAATAGCTCTGTAAATTTCATTTGGATCAGTTCGTTAGCATTGAGTTTAAATAAGCTGACGGCAAACATTACCAATGCTTACTGTAATCTTTCGATAATATATATATATAGAAAGAATGAGACCTAAGGAATTGAGACAAAACCTGAAATCGTGTTCATCCCATTTCTGGAAATTATCTTTCCTTGCATACCGTGCTATATCATACAGTGTTGCATAGAAGTCAAATTGGGATGTATGCCTTCGAGAATTTTGTTTTAAATTCAAAATAAGCTGTTCATTTGAACGTAAATATTTCGGTAATGCTACCTGAAGTGGAAGGAAGTTTGATAGGAAGTTTTTAGGTAAAATTTCGATTTAGAAGAAAACTGCCAAATAGTCTACGAAAATCTATGGAGAAAAGCTGTGAAATTTATTGATATTTCAGAAGATAAGATCTGAATTTTAAGCGTCCTTCATTTATTCTCATTTAATTGTTAATTTTTTTTTGTCGCAAACATGAAGTCTTACCGTAAACAATGGATTATTATCTTCCATCTGACCTGGGCGAGTGGATCGAATATTGCCAAATCGTATCCCGTGATCACCCATTAAAAATACGAATGAATTGTTCAAGTCTTTGACATGTTTACGAAAAAAATTGGCGAAATACTGTAAAGCATAAATGATTAGAGGAAATTTTAGTTGGCATGAATATCTCTATTTATTTCATGTCATTCATCACTACTATTGGTAAGAAAATCGAACAAAAAAGAATTCAATATGTGAGGATAAATGATGAACCTTATCAGTACGATACAATCCATTAGGTGAATCATGCGCTATCAGTGATAACCATATCATAGCGAATTTTGAGATTCCGTTATATTCGTTCAAGAATTTGCTCACAAAATTCATCAACTTATGATAAGGTTCTTGGCATTCTCCCTTATAAAAATAATTGTCGAAGTCATTTTCTTCCTGGTTCGGCTGCTTACCGGTAGATCGTAACACCAGAGCACTTCATATAAACAAATTATATTTTCAAATTGTCACTTTTTTGATATGTTCCATGCAATTTTTTTGCTTTCACTCAAATGTTCATTCGATTTTCTCAAGTTAAACTGAACTTAAATTATCGAAAGTAAACATAATTAAACATTCATTTGTCATTCTATACTTTATTCAATTATGTTACTCTTTATTATACTAATAAGAGGCAAAATATGAAAACTCCTAAAATTGAAAAATAAAAATAACTTTGAAGGTTTTTTGATTTTATACAAGGTTTACTGAGCTCCAAAACATCCAAATACATTTTATTTTGTCTAAATAAACATCATTCTAATTGAATTACTTGCAAAAGTGATCAGTCGGAGGTTGGTCATAACCTTTACAATTTGGCCAATTAAATGCACCAATCCAATCTTCCGCTATCACTGATGCATAACTTTGATCAATGAAATCGTAAGTTATAGTTTCATTTCTTTTGACACCATTCTAAAACGCAATTAATAATCATTAAGTTCGTTAATTTCAACTCATTATTTGAAATGTGAGAGAAAGAGATGAAACGGAAAGTTGGAAAGTTTAAAGTAGCAAATACGACCGGAAAGTTTCTAAAGAATTGAAAATAGTACGTCCACATGCCCAACAGTAATCGAGAATGTATGGTGTAAGTGCTACGATGAGATATTGACAGAATTGAAAAGACCAGCAAAATGTATGTTAAATAAATATCAAAGTTATGTCACAAAGATGAGTGGACATTACTTTCCGACCAAATTCATTCATCACTTTGATGCATTTATATTTCTCTCTCTTTGTAAATATCATATCAGCAAAGGGAGGATGGTGAAGGAGAAAGATATAAAGGAAAGAAAAAGTCAAACTTTACCATTCATCTAAATATTTGGACTTATCTTGTTGGTGCAAAGACTATCAAGCGATGTCAAATAATCGCCTTCAATTTTCTTCTATTCTTTAATATTGCTAATGCTTAAAGGATTAAAGCAACTTACCTTGCACGAATCTGGATACTCCGAATCACTTTTATCAGGAAAAAAATTTTCATCTAGTGTGGATATACGAGTTCCTGGAATAGTGGAAAAAACGAAAGTTCTAATTTTATAAGGAAAAAAAGTTTTGAATATAAGAATTTGATATATTCGAAAAACTTAATTACACATTCTTAGAAACATTGAAAAGAGGAAAGAGTTGAATAATCGCAACACAAATTAACGAGAATGAATTATCAAATGAAAATCATCGAGCCAAATTGACAAAAATTGTTAAAGCATAATTAACAAATATCAGATTATCAAACAAATTTGTAACGTACAAACTTTGCTTGTGAAATTTAAATGAATAAGACTTGAAAAGTTAATAAAAAATGAATTGATTATAAATAATCTAAAGGATAAAATTAATCAGGGAAATAGAAAGGGAAACTAAAAAGAAGACGAAAGAAATCAAATCAAATAATATTTGGAAACTTTCAGGTTTTCTTTTCCCAACAGAAGACGCAAAAAAAAAGGAAAAAAAAAACCTGAAAAGATGGCGAAAGCATTTGGTCGACTGTTAAGGCCAACTTTGTTGTGATAGTAAAATGTTGTCGCATCGTACAATTGACGCAGAACCTCAGAATTACGTCCTTTTACATGAATTTTAGTGAATCATTTCAAAGCTTACTTTCCTTTTATTTCAAACTTCATTTTCTTATTGCACCTTTCCAGATAAAGTTATAAAAATCTTTTGTCACTTCATTACTGCTGTCACCAATAATAAATATCATACAATTTACTTGGACCAAACGGTCATCATAGATTTAGCAGTGTCTCCTAATATTGACATTTAAATATATTTTGCATAAATAAGCTAAACTCCGTCACTGCTGGAAAATATGTTCAAAAATCAATAGTTATGATAATGAATGACATGATTTGTAATTCAAAAGATAAATTTGAATTTGATGAAAAAATCACTTGGTTGGTTTGCACAAGTGTGCGAATTGCAGAAGAAGATGAGGTAGAATCGAAAAGGAGTATGAATACACCTGGATGTAAATTGTCTTCCTTTTGGAATACCTTTTCTTTCGGTCTTATTAACTGCAAAAAAAAAACGTAATCATCGTATTTCGAAAAAAAGTCTACCATGAAATGTATCGAATTTTACTAATTGAATTATTTTGTTACTAATTGAATTATTGATTGAAAGTTGCTAATTGAATTACTTTGAATAAATAGCATCGTATATAAAAAGTTGATGTAAAAATTGAAAAATCGATGAATGAAATCGAAAATTCGAAAGTTTTAAACTTGGAAATTTGATTCGCTATTTTTATTTTTTCTCGCCACTTTATGAAAAGACCTTTTAAAATAAAGGAAGTTCAATAAATTGTAATTAATTGAAATCAAAAACTGAAATGATTATTCAGAGAGTGTGAATAACGAGCCTGATCATGAATGTATCGGAAGGTTGTCTTCTTATTTTTCATGCAATGCGTTTCGATAAATTCACAGCTTTCGTAATATGCTTCATTTTTTTTCATTTTAATCCAATTACTTGGTTTCAAATTTAATTCACCATTCATATGAAGGCATCGATACTGGCATTCCGAAGTTCTAAACCATGATTTAATAAACGAGTCAATCTGAGCTTAGACAGGCTTACAGGCCTATACTTTAAAATCAAATCTTTAGAATTACTTTAAGATGTCATTACACAAAAGGAATGACAATAAATATTCAATCTATCTTTCAATGAAATGATACATTCTATTCCTTGTAACTATTACAGAAGTTGTTCTTTATCTATTCTTTATTACTTTTAGAAAAATTTTGTAGCATCTTTAAAAATTAAATTAATTTGTGGAAACATACATTCAAATTCATAGATTTTAAATTTTAATGAACTGAAATGACAGAGAAAGCTGATTAGCAAAAAGAAAATATTTTAAGAATATTTGATAAAATGAAAACGTACGTATCATTAAGCATTCGAATTGTGCCGTTTTCAAGTTCGGTATGCATTTGACGATTTATGCGGCACATTCGCAATGGATCCCAGTCGGGATATAAATATGGGATTAATTGAGGGTCCCAGGGGTCAAGTTTAACAAGGAGGCATTTATGATTCTTTTCCAAGGTCAAATCTACAAAGGTAATTCATTTGATACAAGATTTTCATCAAATGAAAAATAACTGAAACTAAAAGTGAGTGAGTAATTAATAGAATTGTATGGTATGTTGCATTATTTGTTTCATTCTTTTCTTATAAAAATTTTGACTTAAATTTTCTGTTTTTTTTTCCTTCAAACTATTCCACTTAAAATTTACTCTTACAGTATTGGTGGAACTTAATGCAGTTTTATATCGATTCAAAATTTTATATCGAAATTTTAGAAAATCAATTTGAATCGAAATGCTAAGGTTGAAATAAATATATTTGTAAAACGATACCAGTGGAATGATTTCTTTGTTCAAAAAAGCGGGAAAATGATTGTTGTAAAGTTATTTGAGTGTTATAAATATCGTCCATATATAAACTATTTATCGCAAAAAGAAGTCCAATAATTAGTGTAAATGCTATCAGATATTCAATTCCTTTTAATTTGACCATTATTAAATTGGAATATGGCAGATTAAATTAAATATGCTGAAATAATTTTAATAATCACTAGATTTTTATTTCATTTCATAGCTTTCCATCTTATAAATAACTCATCAAAATGTCAACAGTTAAGCATTTTTATACAAATTAATTTTAATTTATATTAAATTATATGGAAGTAAATTTGATAATATTTTAGATATGACAACCTTTCATCATATTTATAGATAAATAATCGAGAAAGATGCCCACTGGACATCATCATTTTAGTTATTGATAGCCTAGTAAAATATCTCTAAGAATTTCACTAAAGAATAATTTAAACGATAAGCTTTCTGAACTATTGTAAGAATATCAATTTAATCGTATCGTATCAGCTGTTACAGTTGCGCTGTCAATATTGATTGGTATCAAAAATTATGATATTTAATAATGACAAAAGCGAGAGACAAAAATTTTTAATTAAAATAAATTTCATATACCATAAATGATAACAATTTTAGACGATATGATATCGATCACATTTCTATGATATCTGAAAAAGTTGAAAGTAAACTATGGTGAAGGCAAAATAGCAGCGAGTCAATTTAATTAACCTGTTGTGATATTTCTCGTTACTCAATTATCGTCCTCCCATATATAATCATAAGATAAAAGAGTTTTTAATTTTTACTTCTATTAGCAATTCCTTTAAATAAAGAAATTGGCACTATTCATTCTTGATGAAAAAGGTTAATTTTTTTTTATTAGAAATTTCTTCGATGAAATGATGTCATTTCAGGTGAAATGTTACTTTAATTTAATGTAGTTTATGAATTAATTCAAAATATTAACTATAGGATTGCATAAATTGATTGATTGGTTTCGGGTAAGAGTGAAGAATTGCATCGGATAGATTAATATCAAAAATGACTCGAGTATTATTTTATCAAGAATTTCATGCATCTAATGAATTCATCTGCTGTTTCAAAAGACAATGCGTGAAATCGGAATCGTTAGACGATATTTCTGTACTATGAATCATTCAACCATAATTTAGATCAAATTGCAGTATGATACTGGAAAGTCTAACTTACTGCAAATATTGAAACGCTGGAAAATATGAAAATCTTACGACCGTATCACACAATGTAACGATTTATTTTGCTAAACTAAATAATTTGGAACATATAATTTCAATATGCAAATTAGATAGCACTTGTAAAAATTATAATTTAATAACACTCAACATTTTTCCGAAATGAACAAGAAATGAGTTTTAGTGAGAATTGAAGAAATCAGATTTATAATAAAATAACTATTTCTCATAATTTTAGAAACTTCTACTTATTATATTATTTAATATCTATGCATGTAAATCTTGCAAATACATGTAAGATTTTAAGAATGAAAACTTTAATTGATTGGAAACGATTTTTTTTTTTGTTTTTCTGTATTGATAAGCTTTAGATCTATGTTAAACTTAATAAGTATTATCTATTGATATTTGTTGGACTAAAAAGCGGAGAGAAAGCATACAGCTATTTATATTAATTCAAAGTATAAAATAAATGAATAAATTGTTATGACGAGAATAATCATATCCTTAATTGTATTATTTCATTCCTCAACATTTTCATCAAGTTTCGATAATTAATTAAGTGAAAACGACTTTTTAAAAAAAAAGTCGTTTTCATCGGTGGTTTGCAGACTGTAATCATATAACTTTAATATAGAAACATAGAGGAGTTTGGAGAATACTTTTATCAGTTTATTTCCTACCATACTGAAATAATAGTTTATTCCCGAGATGTTCCGAAACAAATAATAAGACGAATATGGGAAAAAGATTCAGCAGCATAACTTCGATACTTCAGCTTCCTTCAACTCATTATTAGTTGCGCATTAATCATCTCCCAGATGATATTCAAGTAGTTGAAAAACAGGTTAACTGAATCCAATTCAGTCATCACCTCTGGATTTCCCATCAGAACATTGCATCGAATTCTAAGATTTCAAATTGCTATTAAAGATGCCAATACGAGTAAAGCGCCTAAAGTGTTTTTGTCCTCTGAAAGGCGGAGAATTAGCAAATAATATTTCAGTGCAATTTTAAATGTGAAAAATGTGCATCATTGTGGGATAAAAAAAAAGAAACCCAATGATTGTTTGAGACTAATTTTAAAACAATTTAAAATTATTGAATAGATCAAAAGATGGAAAAGTTAAGAAATCATTAGAACTTTGCGGTGACATCAATTAAGACTTTATGTTTAGCGAAAAGATTGGAAAAGATTATAATAGATGAAGTAAAATGCGAGAGAAAGGTGCGATAATTAAATAAAAAACTTTTTTTTAAAATGTAAATAGAGAACAATGTTGATTTTGATTTGAGGACGGAAATCTTTATCAAACCGATGAAAGGGAAGAAAAGCTAAATGATAAGTTTATGCTATATGTTACATTTTCCTTTTTTGAAAAATGGTAACATTGAATTAGGTGAAAAAAAACGGAATGATTAATTACTGATCAATACTAATGATAATATGATAGCACATGTTATAATCAGCTTATAATTGATCAGAAGAGACATCAGTCAGAGAATATATTTCGTTTCAGCAATTGTTGTTCTGATTTAATGCTCTTAAATTTTGTTGGTGAATAGATTTTTCCTACAATTTCATATAAAATTTTTGTCGAATAAATTAAATTTCGCTCCACTTCAAACAAACAAAATAATATCAAACAAAAAGTATGACTTATTTAAAAAAAAGAAAAAAGAAAAACTTCAATTTCCCTTTCTGCTATTTGAAATTCACCTTATCATTTCAATGCTTATATTACCCTTTTTATCACAATCCGCATCACATATTCTATGAATCAAACATAATTTGATACATGTATCATGTGTCGTCTTTTTATCTCACTTCAGTGTCATCTGTTATCTTTTTTATTTTGTTTTGTTCCTTTTTTATTTTTCTTTCGATCAATCATACAATATTTTATTATCAATTATTTTAAGAATGTGATTATCAATTTATCCATTATCAATTGTTGTATTTTTATCCGCGTCATATTCTACATAAGTACAAAATGAATATTACATAAATATATATGTATATATAAGAATTTAAAAAATTTATTTTTAATACATAAAAGATGAGAATAATCGAATATCAAAGGGGTGGAGAATTTGATAATATTTTTCGAAGGTTAATAAGGAAAAGAAATGAAAGTGGAATATCAGAAAGACAAAGACTAGTATACTATTGTGTGGTTTAAAATCTCTGAAAGTGTATTAGTTTCTTTTCTTTATAATCCCTTTGAAAATAATTATTTGAAATTGTTAGTTATGTCAGACAAGAGCAGGAAATGAGCCTATTTGAAATCTTCCCTTTTACTGAATAAGTCTCTTAATGCCTGGTTATATTTTTGCTGAAAGATTTTTTATGTATTTTTTTTTTTTTCACACTTAAAATAAGGTGCGATTATTTTCATTCTAATCAATGTAAAGGAAGATCTAAATTCGGTGGCAAAATTGTAAAATATTTCCCATATAAATAAGAAAAACAAATTGTTTATAAGAAAGTAGAATAAAAGGTCGATGATTCATTTGACCTTATGACATTCGCAAAACATGGTTAGACGCAACAATAGAAATACGGAAGGTTAGATGTGATGAACAAACTGTTCGAATTCATTTTTCCCTGCGAATCTGATACAGTTAATGATAATCATTCAACTTTTAGTGCTTTTTTTTCTCTTTAAATTTCAACTTTTTTTCTTCTTAAAATTTTTTTGCACCAATTATAGCTTAAAACTAAAATTAAATTACAATATATGTCATGAGCAGAAGACTTCTCAGAAAGGAAGCGCAAATATGACTGATACGATAACAATAATCAGATTTGCTTTGAATTGCATAACATAGAATAAGTGCAGTTTATCCGAAAAGAACATTAGCTATACTAGACAATTCGATTTATCATTATTTTATGGGACATTTTGTGATGTCCACCTGGTGCTTCGACTAATAATAGCTTGTTCTAGCCAAGCCTAGGCATATCATAAAAACCTACGAGTTTTTTGTATTTTATGAAGCAAACATGTATTGCGTCAAGGATTGATGTCCAATTTCGTATTTATGACTCATTGGCAATTTATGAAATACCTTTGATATTTTTAATAAATTGAACTGAAAATTTAACCTTTTAAAAAACTTTAAATCCCTGTTTATTGCAGCAACAAAGCTTAAAGCATAATGCTACATTTTGATGTGTTTTTTTAGCACTTTATTTCCATTGAAGAACAAAGAGAAATTTGAACAGAACCAAATGGTTTACAGAATAATTAAACTTCGTAAGAAAGTAATAGTACATGAGACCAGAGAAATCACCAGCACGAATATTATTAATTCTCGTCCTTCACTCCTACTTAACCTTTTTTTTTGTTAAGTCATCATCAACAAAGTCTGTTGTTTCGAAGATGAATCATGTTTGAAAGCTTCTGATAACATTGGAACTAAACTAAATGTCTAATAGCACATCGCTAAGCAAAATCACCATACAGATAAATAGGTCGTAATAAGGCTCCTTCGTTTAACAATAACCAAAATATCACCAAGTTGATATGTACAAAGAAAGCAGATATATTTCTTTTCTTTCTTTTCAAAGTTTTTTCTGAAGGTTCCTTCTTTCCTCAAAGTTTCTTCTCTTTCTTCGGTGTCCAGTACTGTTGCGAATAATTCTCATATCAAAGTTTTTCTCAGTCCAATATTCTAAATTCTGTTTTTTGGAAAATTTAAAAAAAAATTCTCGTCTGCAAACAAAAGCAAAAGTATGCCCCAGAAAAATAATCAGTTCTTCTACCCCCAGAAAAATAATCAGTTCTTCTTTGTCATGATCATTATCCATCCAACCATCATTGTCAATAATATCATCATATGAATATGCTTCGGCCTCTTTTGCGCCAAAGGTTCACGATCTCATTTGCTAAACCATTCCGTCCAATCCATTCATCACTCGTCCACGAATTAAAGACCTTATTAGGAACTCCACTTGGCCCTGATTTTACTTCATTGGGAATCAGAGTAGTGCTAACCATCATTTTAATGGAATTAGAGCTTCGGTTTTGCAATGAAATTTATCGAAGTTTGCAAATTGAAAGACATGACTTTTATATCTGTGATTTCTTCACATCAGGCATTCAAAAAATTATTTCCAAGTAATTCACTCATTGCAGCCAAGCTTTTCTATTATATATATATATATATATATATATATATATATNCACACACAAC